TTTGTTATGATCGTTGTTGTAGCGAAAGCAAGACATACCTAAATACATGAATCATATCAATAATAACAATACCTACTACACCTCGTTGCTGGTCGTTGCCTCGGTCGATGCTCACCTTACCTCACCTCACCTCACCTCAATACCAATAATACTAAAAAGCAAGAATAAGATTCCTAAGGATAAACATCAGCACAATAACAAGTGTAAGTCGTATTGTTATTGTTAACCACTGTTACTACTCTTACTCTTATTGATTTTCTTATTCATTCTGATTCGCATTCGTATTCATGTTGTTATTCTGAGTCTTAGTCCTTTTCTTATTCCTGTTCTTATTTTTCTTGCAGTCATCAGCTCTAGCAGCAGCAGTCTTATTGTGATGTTTGTTTACGCTGAGTAGCATTGCTTTCCCGAAGCCTTCCAGCTCAGGTACATCATGATCTTAGCCAATCCAGAGATGAGCAAGTTCGCAATTGCGGCAGCCATAGAGAATCTCGAGGATGCCGAGGCTCTTCGAAGCCTTAGGGTGCATCTCCTTCCCGGAGGTACCTTGTTAAGCCTCCGAACAAGGGTTCTATAAGCAGCTGTAAAGTGTTTTGTGGATGCTTTTGGAAGGGTTTCGTGACCCTTTAACCTTGCTATGTTGGGCTTGCTTCAAAAGCGCTCAATCATGGGACACAGGGTGTTCTTACTGTTAAGGGGATATTTAGGAACCCGGAATCCCTTCTTCGAAGCCCTCCACTTTCTGTCCAGGCGACGGCGCTGTACCATTCGATTCTGGCTGAGCTTGGTGTGCCTTCACCGGAGACCATGAGCTGTCCGGCTGCACCTAGAGACCTACTACAGTGGCCATAATAATTGGAATAGGGTTTCGGGGTATATTAGACTATAGTTATAGTAAGGAGCCCCAAAAGCCCATGCCAATCGTTACGAGGCGCAGAGCTTGTGTGCTTAGGGTTCATAGAAGGGATAGGGGCCGTAATAAATAGAATAGGAAGAATATAGGGTTTGTTTTAGGGAGCAATATACTAAACCCTAAACCCTAAACCCTAAACCCTAAACCCTAAACCCTAAACCCTAGTAGAGTCTTAGTAAGGAGCCCCAGGGTTGTGACCTGTGCATCCAAGTCCTTGGTTTCAGCTTCCCTGGCAAGAAGGCGGGGGCCTGCCAGTCGTGTGGGACAGAGGGACGCCCAGCTGTGCCACTGCTGTAACCCTGACGAGGATGGCGAGGACGATGACGACGACGATGACGAGGAATAGGATCTTGACCACGCCAGCTGCATCTTGGCGTGAATACGACACACTCCTCTCCACAAGAGACTGTAGGGAACATGGGAACGTGAAGGTGTGGCGATGCGCTGCTCTGTACAAGCCGAGCTTCTTCGGGCATCGCGAGAGCCTCACTAAGTCATTGCAGCTTGTAAAGGAAGCAGAGTTGCCTTCTGGACACGCCTCTCTGTTCTCAGCGCCAAGCACCGATATCCATGAGGTGAGGTCGGCTTCTTCCGATGATCACTGCAGAGGATGGAGATTCAGCGCAGAAGCATATCGGAGGACTCATCCACGCCGTCTGGGCCACAAGGCACAAGACATGTTGCAAGCTAGCAAGACAATGTGCTTGAATGAAGTATCTTTCACTGTCGTGTTGCACCGGACAGCGAGGATTTGCACAGCCACAGCTTTTAAGAACCCGCCTGCAAAGCAGTTTGGGGCATGAGCGACAACTTCTCCAAGTGATTGGCTTGCTGCCTGCTCAGATTCAAGCTGATGCACTAACACAATAGAGCCGCAAACATGTGAATGCCAGAATCCCATTACTTCCACCATACAGAAATCGGATCCACCAAAAAACATGGGTACTCGAAACCGCAACGTAGCCAAAACCCTGAACCCTAAACACTGAGCGCAAGAAAAAGCCCAAAACCCCAAATCCAGAAGCATATCAGCCCTAAACCCGCCCTGAATCCCTAAATCTGTTATCGGAACGTTCTAGATCGCTTACAGAACCGCAACAGGAACCCCTCAAGCAACCTCTACTTAATTACCCCTTCCTGCAGAACCCTTCTAGCAGCCTTTATGACTGGGGGATCTAGAGTGGGTATAGCAACCCCATAAGCACCCCCTACAAAAGTATTGCTTATTATGTATGCCTTCGCGTATTCCAGCGACTACGCTACCAGCCATTCCCAAGCATGGCGGCTCCGCCACTGAGGCAGCAGCACTAACTTGGGATGGTCGTGTTAAAGAGTGTGGGTGCGCGTTGGCGACGCCGGCGTTCGGTGTGGTTCTCAGCTGTAGTTGTAGCTTCGAGGACCCGAAACCCAAATCCCAAAACCCTAAATCCCAAACGCTAAACCCTAAGGTTTGCGGACTTCATAGCCTCCTTGGTCCTTTAGTGAGGTGATACAATTCTCATCAAAACTAGTGTGATCACGACTATGACTGTTTTGGTCAGTAATTAGTCGTGTTCTCTTTGGAGTGTACTGCCTCCTCTCCACCTTATGCCGGATGGGCTTGAACCCTTTGCTGAAGCCTGCTCGCCACACACTAATTTCCCAGAGGCTCCGAAACCCTTATGTCAGGAACATACCCCAAGTGCCCAAGTGCTATTATCGTAAGAATCCCAAGCCCAAAGCCCAGTTTAGACCCTAAAACTGGAACATACCTTGAATTCTCCTACGGTTCCACATATGATCTAAGGTATATTCCCCATTTAAGGGGCTCAGAGTGTCTGGGATTCTTGCCGGCACCGGCAGCATAGGCTGTCCTTTGCAGAGACTCGTGCCTTTTTGCGCGGTCCGGTCTTTATGGCGACAACTCGGGCCGTGCATTTTTGCCTTCTAGCAGCTCAAGCTCTGGCCCAAAAGGGTGGGCATTTGCGCGATTTTCCCGCTCCACTGTCTTGATTCCACAAACGGCGACCACAGATTTTTCTCGGTTTAAGTTTGTGGACGTTTGCGTTTAGGAGAGTGCACTTCCGAGCCGACTGTCTGCGCCGGCAAAATGACGGCTTGGTCAGCAGGTTTGTGAGTCCTCCCTGTACTCTCGGGCTAGATCTCACTCATCCTGTGCACACGTTGATGTTAGAGACACTGTCCTGCCTTGTTGGAGAGGTATGGCATGAGCGTGTTACTGTGCGCCGTTGCCCTTGCAAACAGTCAGACGTATAGGCGAGGCAGAAGATCAAAGTCTACCTATAGTCTGCATAGTAGTTCTTTCTTCTGGTTTAACCAATTATACATTAAGGATCCTAAATGGTAACTCCAAAAGGAACTACAATGGAGACTATAGGTAGTAGCCAAGCCCCTCACAGCAACTCTGGGCCATTAGCAGACATTGCATATCTAGGTACCTTCCGTTCCAAGCCTAGAAGCAATGCCTTGGGTCGACGCAGTCGAAGACGATTGCGCTCTGGTATCTGTGGGCTCCTCTGTTGCTTTGCGTAACGCTGCGACCGCAGGCGAAGAGGGCTGTTCTTGGGATCCAGTCTTTGGCTTTTCAACACTCCGCCACCTTCAGCAGTCAGCCCGCGATCTCAAGGTGCAACCGGTGTTGAAGTGGTGGCTTCCGCTGCTTCCAGCCAAGCCAAGTCGTGGAGTGCTCGGCATCGGTGCAAACGTTCCATATCTGCTTCATGCCGGCAGTGCAATGCCAAAGAAAGACCTGCCATTGCTTTCTTGTGTGTGATACCTTTGCTACAAAGCGCTGCTCATGATTATTTTCTTCGTCTGGCAATGGATGTCATTGCAGCCTCCAGCCTCTAGCACGCTGCCATGTTCAGGCCACTGGACGAAGATGGCTAGATCTCCGAAGGCAATCTGACATACTGGTGCACCGAAGGAGGGGTTGGCTGCGAAAAAGGCGCATCACTCCAACTGCAAGCATGCATTGCTGTCTGTTGTCCGCGGTTCCACGTGCAGTCTGTGTATACTGTTCGTCTTAAACTAAGACTTACGTCAGTGCATGTACGCCAGCACGGTAACCTACTTTCTGCGCTTATTTGCTGCAGCTTGACGTCAGGCTGTTGTGTTACATTGGATGCTGTTGCGTCTGGCGCATGTCCCAGGAATTCAGACTCCTTCCTTCGTGCTCGACTCTTTCTGGGTTTGGCTTGTCTTTTCGTTCCTCCTCTTCGCATTCCTTCCTTGTGCCTTCCTCGCTTCCTCAAACCCTTCCTCGGACAGAGCAGCGATGCTCGCCACGAGTCCACATCAGTTGTTTTGACAGATCTTCGAGCCCAATTCAAGGCGATCTCTTGGCGGGTCCCTTGGCTTGAGTAGGCATGTGTCAGTGTAAGCCTCTTGGATCGCTTGTAGGTTTGCAGGTCCCGCTCTCTCGCTCGCGTTCGTTCTCTCTCTCTCTCTCTCTATCTCTCTCGCTCCCTCTCGCAGAGTTGTCGCCCCTCTCGCTGTCGCGAGGACTTCATTCGACCGGACCATGCCTGCATGCACGATCTTCCCGACATGTCCATCTCGCCCACGGAGCTCCGGCATGTCGTGCTACAGTACTTGATTCGCACCTGTGTATCGCTTACCTTTGGTTAGTAGGGAATGGAAGAATGGTAGTAATAGTAGTTTTTTATTACCTCATTCCTCCATTCCCTACTAACCAAAGGTAAGATGCGAGTGCCAGTGCCGCTTGTCAGGAGCATGGTGTGGAATATCCCCGCCGATACTGGGCCGGGGCTTGAGGGGACGGTTTGGTAGGATAGGGATTAGGCCTTGTCGGGTTTTCAGCCGTTCATGTAGTGTGAATGCTGTGAATGTCAATGTACGATTTGGGTAGTTGGCATTGTGTCAGTCATGCTGCCTGGGTTCTGCAGGCAAGGTTGAGATCGATATCCTTCATGCTCAGGTTATGCGAGATATGCGAGGTTCTTCAGCGGGCTGTATAGCTCTGGACATGTTGGTAGGTCGCCTGTGTGCACGCGTGTGGCTTGCCTTCCCAAAATTGTGACAAGCACCTCCCAGCCCAGAAGTGCTGGCCATGGTGGGTAGAATGATGGGCTGCTGCCTCAGAGCAACCAGCGCGCAGGTTCCGGCAACAACGCACAACCAGTTGGTGAGGGTTTAGGGTTTAGGGTTTAGGGAGTCGAGTTGAGCCCTCGAAGCCTGAAGCAGAGCAGTCACGGCAAGCTCTTCGAAGATACCCGAAGCCTCGAGGCCACGAGCCCTCATTCGTCAGCGTCATCCTCGAGGCCCTGGCTCGATGCCTCCGCAGTCCATGAAGAGACCTGCGAAGAATTCCCATGACATGGACCGGTGCCACATTGCGGTGTGGGAGCAGTTCCAAGTTTCCGAGCAAGACTCGGACAGCACGGCTGCTGAGCCTGTCCATCCTAGACTCGCCGGCCATGCACTTGGCAACAAGACCGGGGCCGCAAGCAAATCTGTTGTGGCGAGCTGCGAATTTGCAGGGGGCGCGGCACCACAACGACGACATCCGAGAGTGTGCCGTGCCGGGGCGCCAGCGACTGTCTGCACGCGTGGAGAACTCGACGATAACTCGTATCATCACCTCCCGCAATGCCCGAACTGTGACGAAAGACGACGACGATTAGCAAACCACACTCCAGGTGCGCCCTCAAAGGATTGATCCAGCATCCGGAGGTGCACCGCGGATGGTCTCGGGAAGATAGGTTCTGATAGTTAGTCGTATTCAGAGAATACAGTGCACTTGCTTTTGAACTGATTCTGAAGTGCTTGTCTCAGATTCCTCCATAACTTGAATTTGGAAGCGCTATAGGACCGCTAGGATTATTTGAATTTGGAAGTCTGCTGCAGTATGTCTCTACAGCTGCTCGTTACACCGCTACAAGGCCGCAGGGCCGATGGTTTGCAGGTGCTTCTGCAGTGATCCATACCGAAGTCCGGCACCCTTTGACGGAGACTAGTCAGTTTGCAACGCGTCACCCAAGCCCAACACGTGATCTCCGCCAACCAAACAAATCTCACATTCATGCTCTTCGACATCGGTTGTCGGTAGCGCGATGCTGGGCAATATGCTCGTTTATGCGTCGGTATGCCCGAGCCGAAGCATGCGAAGCTGTTGCGCAGGACAAATGTGCACGTGGTCTCCGTGTTGTGGTGTTGCAGCTGCGTGTACGACCCAGTGGCATTCAGTGGCCCAATAGATGGATTGCAAGCGCTTAAACCAATGACCTCGGGGCTACAACACCTTGAGGCTTGGGTACCCTGACATGTGATGCTTGCACAAATCCCTACTTTGCAGTTTGAACCAGCATCGCATGACACGCAATGTTACGGAAGAGCTGGACTCCCCTTGGTTGCGCACTGCAGGCAGAGAATCCGCAAACGGCTCTTGTCAAGCGAAACCTGATCTGCGCTGTTGTCACAGTGGCTCGAGCCTCGCCGCCCATGGACGGATCCTCTCACTAACTCTTGGATGTTGCTGTGGGGACGGGAGTCTTCAACACGCAGATGTGGAGTTTCCGCCACGGTCCTATTTATTGAAACGCAGCCTTAATCTAAGCTTGCATGAGTGTGTGTGGATTATAATAGCAAAGATCAGACATCCAAATTCTCGGCAGGTACCTCGAGAAGCACCCCGTGTGGTGTTAGGATCAGTTTCGCTGATTTGTGTGTTGAGCTCCATTAACGGCCGTCTGTTAGGTGGCAATAAGTTCGACTGCGTTGTGATGAAACGCCATGCCGCTCCCAGAAGATGACATGACCTCTCGAACCAGACAAGACATGTCTCCGTAAATCGCACACTGAGGATTGACGAGTGTTGTGCAATCTGACAGGTGCTGCGACGTCTGCCTTGTTTGCGCCAGCACCGGCGACTGCAGGCAAGATGCAGACGCATGACTGTCGAGCGTCAGTCTGCTCGAGGACGCCAAACTCTGAAGCCAGAACCACTTCAAACACTGCAGAAGCCGTTTGGCTCTGCCGTTTGGCCTTGCCGCCCTGCCGAAGTAGCTGCGCATCATCCAGACCATGGCGCTGCGTTGGTTCTTCCGTGTCATGGTATGTCTGGTCGCGAGCAGAGGTGCTTCTACAACATGTTTGCCAGAAGCAATTCCAGCGGCTGAGCGATCACACATCAAAGCCCTCGACGGCACGGACATCCCCATTGGATTCTTCCAAGGCGCATGGGAGTCTTCCTACCTGACATCGGACATTGCTCGAATCCTGGTTGAGGAAGTGTTGGGCTACCAGACATGGCTACACCCGGAGGATGGACGCAGTGCAGTCACCACGCCTTATGCCCTCGCCGGGTGTTTGGATTTCAACAATGCTACAAATCAACAGTGTGGCATCAACGAGACGCGGCTGCATGTCTGCGTAGACTGTTGGGCCGCCTCCTATGCTGCCGTAGTGGAAGATATGAAGGAGACGTACCCGCACTTGGTGCCCGTCGATCTGGGCAGCATGGGATACGACGGCGAAGAGTCGATGTACGTCGCCAAGGGTGTTCTCCAGCAGGCACTTGACGCCGAGGGCTTGACCTTGGACTTCTACCGAGGCTACAATCTGACGCACCACAACCCCAAACAGTACTTCGATGACATCAATGCCATAAACTTGCAAGACCTGTTCCTTTGCGAGGAAACCGACTTCTACAAGCCGGAGTCTATGGCAGCCTATGCCAGATGGACGGGTGATGCTGCAGGACTTCGGGTGCTGGCGAATGGCAACTATGCCGCCAAGTGTCATGCAGACAAGTGGTGGATATCTCCCCAGTGCCGGAGTGACACATCGACCTGTATCCCTGTGATTACTGCAGGTGTCGGGTGGAAGCTCCAGGCCATGATGTTCTGGTCGACGACCTATGGCCTGCCGACTGCAATCGCCGTGGCCAACTCCTGGGGCAACTATGTCTCGATTGTTTCCACTACGCGCATCCTCTACTACTGGTGGGTGCCGGACGCAACCTTCATCACGCAGCAGCCACAGTTCATCACGTTCCCGCCCTATTCCGCTTCGGAGTGGGCCCAGGGCAACATGAGGACGGCTGCAAGTGGAACCTACATCAGTAAAGCAGTCAGCAGCAACTTCGCAAACCAGGCGCCAAGGGTCAGCAGCTTCATTTCCAAGGTGACCTTCGAACTCGGAGAGCTCATGGATCTTCTGCTCACGATCGCTTCCGGGACCTTGCGCTATGATGTTGCATGCCGGTGGGTCCGAGACAACAAACCGCGGTGGCAAGAGTGGCTTCCGATCGAAACCAATTGCATCACCGGCTTTGGTTTAGCTGATGCCGCAGGCAGCTTCGTGATGGACAGGGCAAATGCAACAAGCTGCGAAGTGTGCACCCCCGGAAAATTCTCGCAGGAGTACCTGGACAACACAGCCGCCACCCGCCGCTGCGTCCCGTGTGCGCCGGGGACTTCTCAGGAAAAGAGCGCAGCGACAAGCTGCACACCATGCCAACCTGGGAGTTACACAGACTCTCATGGCAGGGAGACCTGTAACGTGTGCGATCAGGGATCGTACCAAGTCTTGGAGGGCCAGACCGGTTGCACCAGCTGCGACGAGGCCCGCACGACCCTGCTACTTGCTGCGAGCAGAAGGGAAGACTGCGTGTGTAGACAAGGCTTGATCGAAGCGTCGCTGGGGGCTTGTGTGAGCTGCGGCGAGGGCTTGTCTTGCCCTAAGGGAAGCACCGTGGAGCGACTCAGAAACAGCAGCAGTGAAGAACGGCCCGAAGTGCTGCCCATGTACTTCAGCAGCATGGAAGCACCCTTGGAGATCTACCGCTGCCAGTCGCATTGCCCTGGGGGAGCACCAGGCAGTTGTGACGGAGGCCGCGTGGGCCACACCTGCAGCGAGTGCCCCGAGAATTTCTACAGCACGGGCAACCAGTGTGCCAAGTGTGGCGTAGCGCTGCCTGCGCTTTGGATTCTCGGCATGAGTATCGTGGTTTGTGGCATATTCAGCTCTTACTACCTACTCACATCAAGCTACACGGCCAAAGCCAGTGTGCTGACTTGCACCACCTGCAGCTTTGGCATGATGGTCTCCCTGTTTCAGAACTTGGGTGTGATACAGACCGTATCAGTGCCCTGGCCGAACGGACTCAAGGACTTTCTCGGCTTCTTCCAGATCTTCCTCCTGGACTTGGACAGCCTCGGCTTCAGCTGCGTTGCTGGTGGCCCCGTGCATCGATTCGCTGGCAACTGTGCCTTCTTCTTCGTTGTGCTCTCAGGTCTTGTTGCGACAGCATTCCTCACCAACCTGCTCCTTCCCCGCCGCCTTTCTTGGCTGGCCTGGCAGAAGTACAAGACGATGAGCACGATCGGCCAGTTCTGCCAGGTGAGCTTCACCACGATGACGAACATAGGCTTGGTTCCCTTCATGTGTTACCGCCACCCCGCAGGCAGCGAGAGCGTGCTGAAGTATAGCGACGTCTTCTGCAACTCGGCCGAGCACACGCTGATGCAGCTGCTGGGTACAGCCGTCTTGGCCTTGAGTGGCGCCTTCCTCAGCTCCTGCTTCTTCTTTGCCTGGAAAGCTCCCTCCTGGTCTGGCAAAGCAATCCAAGGAGGTGTCCGCTTCCTCATCTTCCGCTTTAGACCGAATGTCTGGTGGTTTGGCCTCGTCCTTCTCACGCGGGGACCGCTCCTTTCCATGCCTGCTGTCGCGGCGCCAAACATGCCGGCCGTGCAGTTTGTGTTCCTGCTGGGCATCCTGCTACTGTCCCTGCAGCTGCAGATTTGGTACTTGCCGTGGAAGGCTCCGATCCTCAACCTGGTGGACGGTGTCACAAACCTGCTCCTCGTGATGCTCTTGGCAATTGGTTTGGGCCGCCTTGGCCCAGACCCTGAGGACGGGCCTGCAGTCCTGGACAGCCTGGCGGCCGCCATCTCTGCGATGATGATGAGCGTGCTCGGACTCATGCTGTTGCTTGCAATCGCTGCCCTCTTCTACAAGAAGGCTTTGGGCAGCAATGATGAGCTGTGGATCATGAACCTCGGCAAGCCAGTACCCTCCAAAGACTTCTGCGACAATCTGACGAACTTCATTCAAAGCCAGAAAGACATGCAGGAGAAGGAAGTACGACAAGTTGTGGAAGCGCTCTGTGTCTATGACTACCGTGACGTGAACGCCTCGATCGTCCTCCTAAGCACGGAGCTAGGCTTCCGCAGCAAGCTCACAGATGCGTTGGCCATGCGCCGAATTACCTCCTTTGCATCTTTTTCTTCCGTGCCTGCAGGAAACAAGACGCAGCAAACGGATGCCGAAGCCGAGAATGTCAGCGAGGAAGACACCTGCCTTGAAAGCAATCAAGATGTGGCTGAGGCGGCGGTGCTGAAGATGGAACTTCATGCCGAGGAGACCCGTACTGAGTGGGCCTGAGTGGAGTCTCCTGCAAGGGCAGGCTGACTTATTTTTTAATGTTCATTCTCGTGTGCACGGAATGTTCCTGTGCCAGAACTTGCGGCCTCAGCATGGGCTGAGCATGTAGCAGTTGCCATGTCCCACTCCTCAATGGATGTATAACTGCAGCAAATATCTTTGATACGATCATGAACACTTTGGCTGGAGCCCACACGAGCAACTGCCTGCTGCTGCAAGGGTCGTCTTTTTTTTTGCCGTGGTCCGAGGATGCCTCAACGCAAGCCGAAGGCTTGTTTTTCCAGCTCCCGAATATCCCGGCTTGATAATGTACTTTGTAACCTTGTCCGGCCTTACGCAAGACTGCATCGATACCGTCCGTGATCTCTATAGGATGAGTTTCCACAGCTGCGGCAAAGCTCGACATGACATATGAACGATGAGGCTGGACACAGTCCATGGTCTTGGACATCATCTCTGCAGAAATCCATATATTCGCTTCACGGGCCATGACGGTGCTTGTACTTTCGGGCCCCAATCTCGCACGCCGAGAATGCATCGTTGGCTGGGAGTATAGTCTCGAGGGGTTGGCTGCGAAAAAGGCGCATCACTCCAACTGCAAGCATGCATTGCTGTCTGTTGTCCGCGGTTCCACGTGCAGTCTGCGTACGCTGTTCGTCTTAAACTAAGACTTACGTCAGTGCATGTACGCCAGCACGGTAACCTACTTTCTGCGCTTATTTGCTGCAGCTTGACGTCAGGCTGTTGTGTTACATTGGATGCTGTTGCGTCTGGCGCATGTCCCGCGAATTCAGACTCCTTCCTTCGTGCTCGACTCTTTCTGGGTTTGGCTTGTCTTTTCGCTCCTCCTCTTCGCATTCCTTCCTCGCTTCCTCAAACCCTTCCTCGCACAGAGCAGCGATGCTCGCCACGAGTCCACATCAGTTGTTTTGACAGATCTTCGAGCCCAATTCAAGGCGATCTCTTGGCGGGTCCCTTGGCTTGAGTAGGCATGTGTCAGTGTAAGCCTCTTGGACCGCTTGTAGGTTTGCAGGTCCCGCTCTCTCGCTCGCGTTCGTTCGTTCTCTCTCTCTCTCTCTCTCTGTCTCTTTCTCTCTTTCTCTCTCTCTCTCGCTCCCTCTCGCAGAGTTGTCGCCCCTCTCGCTGTCGCGAGGACTTCATTCGACCGGACCATGCCTGCATGCACGATCTTCCCGACATGTCCATCTCGCCCACGGGGCTCCGGCATGTCATGCTACAGTACTTGATTCGCACCTGTGTATCGCTTACCTTTGGTTAGTAGGGAATGGAAGAATGGTAGTAATAGTAGTTTTTTATTCCCCCATTCCTCCATTCCCTACTAACCAAAGGTAAGATGCGAGTGCCAGTGCCGCTTGTCAGGAGCATGGTGTGGAATATCCCCGCCGATACTGGGCCGGGGCTTGAGGACGGTTTGGTAGGATAGGGATTAGGCCTTGTCGGGTTTTCAGCCGTTCATGTAGTGTGAATGCTGTGAATGTCAATGTATGATTTGGGTAGTTGGCATTCTGTCAGTCATGCTGCCTGGGTTCTGCAGGCAAGGTTGAGATAGATATCCTTCATGCTCAGGTTATGCGAGATATGCGAGGTTCTTCAGCGGGCTGTATAGCTCTGGACATGTTGGTAGGTCGCATGCCTGTGTGCACGCGTGTGGCTTGCCTTCCCAAAATTGTGACAAGCACCGCCCAGCCCAGAGGTGCTGGCCATGGTGGGTAGAATGATGGGCTGCTGCCTCAGAGCAACCAGTTGCAGGTTCCGGCAACAACGCACAACCAGTTGGTGCTTAGGGAGTCGAGTTGAGCCCTCGAAGCCTGAAGCAGAGCAGTCACGGCAAGCTCTTCGAAGATACCCGAAGCCTCGAGGCCACGAGCCCTCATTCGTCAGCGTCATCCTCGAGGCCCTGGCTCGATGCCTCCGCAGTCCATGAAGAGACCTGCGAAGAACTCCCATGACATGGACCGGTGCCACATTGCGGTGTGGGAGCAGTTCCAAGTTTCCGAGCAAGACTGGGACAGCACGGCTGCTGAGCCTGTCCATCCTAGACTCGCCGGCCATGCACTTGGCAACAAGACCGGGGCCGCAAGCAAATCTGTTGTGGCGAGCTGCGAATTTGCAGGGGGCGCGGCACCACAACGACGACATCCGAGAGTGTGCCGTGCCGGGGCGCCAGCGACTGTCTGCATGCGTGGAGAACTCGACGATAACTCGTATCATCACCTCCCACAATGCCCGAACTGTGACGAAAGACGACGACGATTAGCAAACCACACTCCAGGTGCGCCCTCAAAGGATTGATCCAGCATCCGGAGGTGCACCGCGGATGGTCTCGGGAAGATAGGTTCTGATAGTTAGTCGTATTCAGAGAATACAGTGCACTTGCTTTTGAACTGATTCTGAAGTGCTTGTCTCAGATTCCTCCATAACTTGAATTTGGAAGCGCTATAGGACCGCTAGGATTATTTGAATTTGGAAGTCTGCTGCAGTATGTCTCTACAGCTGCTCGTTACACCGCTACAAGGCCGCAGGGCCGATGGTTTGCAGGTGCTTCTGCAGTGATCCATACCGAAGTCCGGCACCCTTTGACGGAGACTAGTCAGTTTGCAACGCGTCACCCAAGCCCAACACGTGATCTCCGCCAACCAAACAAATCTCACATTCATGCTCTTCGACATCGGTTGTCGGTAGCGCGATGCTGGGCAATATGCTCGTTTATGCGTCGGTATGCCCAAGCCGAAGCATGCGAAGCTGTTGCGCAGGACAAATGTGCACGTGGTCTCCGTGTTGTGGTGTTGCAGCTGCGTGTACGACTCAGTGGCATTCAGTGGCCTAATAGATGGATTGCAAGCGCTTAAACCAATGACCTCGGGGCTACAACACCTTGAGGCTTGGGTACCCTGACATGTGATGCTTGCACAAATCCCTACTTTGCAGTTTGAACCAGCATCGCATGACACGCAATGTTACGGAAGAGCTGGACTCCCCTTGGTTGCGCACTGCAGGCAGAGAATCCGCAAACGGCTCTTGTCAAGCGAAACCTGATCTGCGCTGTTGTCACAGTGGCTCGAGCCTCGCCGCCCATGGACGGATCCTCTCACTAACTCTTGGATGTTGCTGTGGGGACGGGAGTCTTCAACACGCAGATGTGGAGTTTCCGCCACGGTCCTATTTATTGAAACGCAGCCTTAATCTAAGCTTGCATGAGTGTGTGTGGATTATAATAGCAAAGATCAGACATCCAAATTCTCGGCAGGTACCTCGAGAAGCACCCCGTGTGGTGTTAGGATCAGTTTCGCTGATTTGTGTGTTGAGCTCCATTAACGGCCGTCTGTTAGGTGGCAATAAGTTCGACTGCGTTGTGATGAAACGCCATGCTGCTCCCAGAAGATGACATGACCTCTCGAACCAGACAAGACATGTCTCCGTAAATCGCACACTGAGGATTGACGAGTGTTGTGCAATCTGACAGGTGCTGCGACGTCTGCCTTGTTTGCGCCAGCACCGGCGACTGCAGGCAAGATGCAGACGCATGACTGTCGAGCGTCAGTCTGCTCGAGGACGCCAAACTCCGAAGCCAGAACCACTTCAAACACTGCAGAAGCCGTTTGGCCTTGCCGCCCTGCCGAAGTAGCTGCGCATCATCCAGACCATGGCGCTGCGTTGGTTCTTCCGTGTCATGGTATGTCTGGTCGCGAGCAGAGGTGCTTCTACAACATGTTTGCCAGAAGCAATTCCAGCGGCTGAGCGATCACACATCAAAGCCCTCGACGGCACGGACATCCCCATTGGATTCTTCCAAGGCGCATGGGAGTCTTCCTACTTGACATCGGACATTGCTCGAATCCTGGTTGAGGAAGTGTTGGGCTACCAGACATGGCTACACCCGGAGGATGGACGCAGTGCAGTCACCACGCCTTATGCCCTCGCCGGGTGTTTGGATTTCAACAATGCTACAAATCAACAGTGTGGCATCAACGAGACGCGGCTGCATGTCTGCGTAGACTGTTGGGCCGCCTCCTATGCTGCCGTAGTGGAAGATATGAAGGAGACGTACTCGCACTTGGTGCCCGTCGATCTGGGCAGCATGGGATACGACGGCGAAGAGTCGATGTACGTCGCCAAGGGTGTTCTCCAGCAGGCACTTGACGCCGAGGGCTTGACCTTGGACTTCTACCGAGGCTACAATCTGACGCACCACAACCCCAAACAGTACTTCGATGACATCAATGCCATAAACTTGCAAGACCTGTTCCTTTGCGAGGAAACCGACTTCTACAAGCCGGAGTCTATGGCAGCCTATGCCAGATGGACGGGTGATGCTGCAGGACTTCGGGTGCTGGCGAATGGCAACTATGCCGCCAAGTGTCATGCAGACAAGTGGTGGATATCTCCCCAGTGCCGGAGTGACACATCGACCTGTATCCCTGTGATTACTGCAGGTGTCGGGTGGAAGCTCCAGGCCATGATGTTCTGGTCGACGACCTATGGCCTGCCGACTGCAATCGCCGTGGCCAACTCCTGGGGCAACTATGTCTCGATTGTTTCCACTATGCGCATCCTCTACTACTGGTGGGTGCCGGACGCAACCTTCATCACGCAGCAGCCACAGTTCATCACGTTCCCGCCCTATTCCGCTTCGGAGTGGGCCCAGGGCAACATGAGGACGGCTGCAAGTGGAACCTACATCAGTAAAGCAGTCAGCAGCAACTTCGCAAACCAGGCGCCAAGGGTCAGCAGCTTCATTTCCAAGGTGAACTTCGAACTCGGAGAGCTCATGGATCTTCTGCTCACGATCGCTTCCGGGACCTTGCGCTATGATGTTGCATGCCGGTGGGTCCGAGACAACAAACCGCGGTGGCAAGAGTGGCTTCCGATCGAAACCAATTGCATCACCGGCTTTGGTTTAGCTGATGCCGCAGGCAGCTTCGTGATGGACAGGGCAAATGCAACAAGCTGCGAAGTGTGCACCCCCGGAAAATTCTCGCAGGAGTACCTGGACAACACAGCCGCCACCCGCCGCTGCGTCCCGTGTGCGCCGGGGACTTCTCAGGAAAAGAGCGCAGCGACCAGCTGCACACCATGCCAACCTGGGAGTTACACAGACTCTCATGGCAGGGAGACCTGTAACGTGTGCGATCAGGGATCGTACCAAGTCTTGGAGGGCCAGACCGGTTGCACCACCTGCGACGAGGCCCGCACGACCCTGCTACTTGCTGCGAGCAGAAGGGAAGACTGCGTGTGTAGACAAGGCTTGATCGAAGCGTCGCTGGGGGTTTGTGTGAGCTGCAGCGAGGGCTTGTCCTGCCCTAAGGGAAGCACCGTGGAGCGACTCAGAAACAGCAGCAGCGAAGAACGGCCCGAAGTGCTGCCCATGTACTTCAGCAGCATGGAAGCACCCTTGGAGATCTACCGCTGCCAGTCGCATTGCCCTGGGGGAGCACCAGGCAGTTGTGACGGAGGCCGCGTGGGCTACACCTGCAGCGAGTGCCCCGAGAATTTCTACAGCACGGGCAACCAGTGTGCCAAGTGTGGCGTAGCACTGCCTGCGCTTTGGATTCTCGGCCTTGGTATCGTGGTTTGTGGCATATTCAGCTCTTACTACCTACTCACATCAAGCTACACGGCCAAAGCCAGTGTGCTGACTTGCACCACCTGCAGCTTTGGCATGATGGTCTCCCTGTTTCAGAACTTGGGTGTGATACAGACCGTATCAGTGCCCTGGCCGAACGGACTCAAGGACTTTCTCGGCTTCTTCCAGATCTTCCTCCTGGACTTGGACAGCCTCGGCTTCAGCTGCGTTGCTGGTGGCCCCGTGCATCGATTCGCTGGCAACTGTGCCTTCTTCTTCGTTGTGCTCTCAGGTCTTGTTGCGACAGCATTCCTCACCAACCTGCTCCTTCCCCGCCGCCTTTCTTGGCTGGCCTGGCAGAAGTACAAGACGATGAGCACGATCGGCCAGTTCTGCCAGGTGAGCTTCACCACGATGACGAACATAGGCTTGGTTCCCTTCATGTGTTACCGCCACCCCGCAGGCAGCGAGAGCGTGCTGAAGTATAGCGACGTCTTCTGCAACTCGGCCGAGCACACGCTGATGCAGCTGCTGGGTACAGCCGTCTTGGCCTTGAGTGGCGCCTTCCTCAGCTCCTGCTTCTTCTTTGCCTGGAAAGCTCCCTCCTGGTCTGGCAAAGCAATCCAAGGAGGTGTCCGCTTCCTCATCTTCCGCTTTAGACCCAATGTCTGGTGGTTTGGCCTGGTCCTTCTCACGCGGGGACCGCTCCTTTCCATGCCTGCTGTCGCGGCGCCAAACATGCCGGCCGTGCAGTTTGTGTTCCTGCTGGGCATCCTGCTACTGTCCCTGCAGCTGCAGATTTGGTACTTGCCGTGGAAGGCTCCGATCCTCAACCTGGTGGACGGTGTCACAAACCTGCTCCTCGTGATGCTCTTGGCAATTGGTTTGGGCCGCCTTGGCCCAGACCCTGAGGACGGGCCTGCAGTCCTGGACAGCCTGGCGGCCGCCATCTCTGCGATGATGATGAGCGTGCTCGGACTCATGCTGTTGCTTGCAATCGCTGCCCTCTTCTACAAGAAGGCTTTGGGCAGCAATGATGAGCTGTGGATCATGAACCTCGGCAAGCCAGTACCCTCCAAAGACTTCTGCGACAATCTGACGAACTTCATTCAAAGCCAGAAAGACATGCAGGAGAAGGAAGTACGACAAGTTGTGGAAGCGCTCTGTGTCTATGACTACCGTGACGTGAACGCCTCGATCGTCCTCCTGAGCACGGAGCTAGGCTTCCGCAGCAAGCTCACAGATGCGTTGGCCATGCGCCGAATTACCTCCTTTGCATCTTTTTCTTCCGTGCCTGCAGGAAACAAGACGCAGGAAACGGATGCCAAAGCCGAGAATGTCAGCGAGGAAGACACCTGCCTTGAAAGCAATCAAGATGTGGCTGAGGCAGCGGTGCTAAAGATGGAACTTCATGCCGAGGAGACCCGTACTGAGTGGGCCTGAGTAGAGTCTCCTCTTTTTAATGTACATTCTCGGGTGCACAGACTGTTTCTGTGCCAGCCAGAACTTGGGCTGATCATGTAGCAGTTGCCATGTCCCACTCCTCAATGGATGTATAACTGCAGCAAATATCTTTGATACGATCATGAACACTTTGGCTGGAGCCCACACGAGCAACTGCCTGCTGCTGCAAGGGTCGTCTTTATTTTTGCCGTGGTCCGAGGATGCCTCAACGCAAGCCGAAGGCTTGTTTTTCCAGCTCCCGAATATCCCGGCTTGATAATGTACTCTGTAACCTTGTCCGGCCTTACGCAAGACTGCATGAATACCGTCCATGATCTCTATAGGATGACTTTCCACAGCTGCAGCAAAGCTCGACACGACGTATGAACGATGAGGCTGGACACACCATCGAAGCAGTCTACGGCCTTGGACATCATCTCTGAAGAAGTCAGTGAATCCGCTTCACGGGCCATCACGGTGCTTGTTTTTTTGGGTCCAAATCTCGCATGCCGAGAGTGCATCGTTGCCTGGGAGTATAGTCTCGAGGGGTTGGCTGCGAAAAAGGCGCATCACTCCAACTGCAAGATGCATTGCTGTCTGTTGTCCGGCGGTTCCACGTGCAGTCTGCGTACGCTGTTCGTCTTAAACTAAGACTTACTTCAGTGCATGTACGCCAGCACGGTAACCTACTTTCTGCGCTTATTTGCTGCAACTTCTGCCTTGTTTGCGCCAGCACCGGCGACTGCAGGCAAGATTCAGACGCATGACTGTCGAGCGTCAGTCTGCTCGAGGACGCCAAACTCTGAAGCCAGAACCACTTCAAACACTGCATAAGCCGTTTGGCTCTGCCGTTTGGCCTTGCCGCCCTGCCGAAGTAGCGCCGCATCATCCAGACCATGACGAGGTTTCAGCGTTGGCTGTTCTTTCGTGTCATGGTATGTCTGGTCGCGAGCAGAGGTGCTTCTACAACATGTTTGCCAGAAGCAATTCCAGCGGCTGAGCGATCACACATCAAAGCCCTCGACGGCACGGACATCCCCATTGGATTCTTCCAAGCCGCATGGGAGTCTTCCTACTTGACATCGGACATCGCCCGAATCCTGGTTGAGGAAGTGTTGGGCTACCAGACATGGCTACACCCGGAGGATGGACGCAGTGCAGTGACCACGCCTTATGCCCTCGCCGGGTGTTTGGATTTCAACAATGCTACAAATCAACAGTGTGGCATCAACGAGACGCGGCTGCATGTCTGCGTAGACTGTTGGTCCGCCACCTATGCTGCCGTAGTGGAAGATATGAAGGAGACGTACCCGCACTTGGTGCCCGTCGATCTGGGCAGCATGGGATACGACGGCGAAGAGTCGATGTACGTCGCCAAGGGTGTTCTCCAGCAGGCACTTGACGCCGAGGGCTTGACCTTGGACTTCTACCGAGGCTACAATCTGACGCACCACAACCCCAAACAGTACTTCGATGACATCGATGCCATAAACTTGCAAGACCTGTTCCTTTGCGAGGAAACCGACTTCTACAAGCCGGAGTCTATGGCAGCCTATGCCAGATGGACGGGTGATGCTGCAGGACTTCGGGTGCTGGCGAATGGCAACTATGCCGCCAAGTGTCATGCAGACAAGTGGTGGATATCTCCCCAGTGCCGGAGTGACCCATCGACGTGCATCCCTGTGATTACTGCAGGTATCGGGTGGAAGCTCCAGGCCATGATGTTCTGGTCGACGACCTATGGCCTGCCGACTGCAATCGCCGTGGCCAACTCCTGGGGCAACTATGTCTCGATTGTTTCCACTACGCGCATCCTCTACTACTGGTGGGTGCCGGACGCAACCTTCATCACGCAGCAGCCACAGTTCATCACGTTCCCGCCCTATTCCGCTTCGGAGTGGGCCCAGGGCAACATGAGGACTGCTGCAAGTGGAACCTACATCAGTAAGGCAGTCAGCAGCAACTTCGCAAACCAGGCGCCAAGGGTCAGCAGCTTCATTTCCAAGGTGACCTTCGAACTCGGAGAGCTCATGGATCTTCTGCTGACGATCGCTTCCGGGACCTTGCGCTATGATGTTGCATGCCGGTGGGTCCGAGACAACAAACCGCGGTGGCAAGAGTGGCTTCCGATCGAAACCAATTGCATCACGGGCTTTGGTTTAGCTGATGCCGCAGGCAGCTTTGTCATGGACAGGGCAAATGCAACAAGCTGCGAAGTGTGCACCCCCGGAAAATTCTCGCAGGAGTACCTGGACAACACAGCCGCTACCCGCCGCTGCGTCCCGTGTGCGCCGGGGACTTCTCAGGAAAAGAGCGCAGCGACCAGCTGCACACCATGCCAACCTGGGAGTTACACAGACTCTCATGGCAGCGAGACCTGTAACGTGTGCGATCAGGGATCGTACCAAGTCTTGGAGGGCCAGACCGGTTGCACCAGCTGCGACGAGGCCCGCACGACCCTGCTACTTGCTGCGAGCAGAAGGGAAGACTGCGTGTGTAGACAAGGCTTGATCGAAGCATCGCTGGGTTGTGTGAGCTGCGGCGAGGGCTTGTCTTGCCCTAAGGGAAGCACCGTGGAGCGACTCAGAAACAGCAGCAGTGAAGAACGGCCCGAAGTGCTGCCCATGTACTTCAGCAGCATGGAAGCACCCTTGGAGATCTACCGCTGCCAGTCGCATTGCCCTGGGGGAGCACCAGGCAGTTGTGACGGTGGCCGCGTGGGCCACACCTGCAGCGAGTGCCCCGAGAATTTCTACAGCACGGGCAACCAGTGTGCCAAGTGTGGCGTAGCGCTGCCTGCGCTTTGGATTCTCGGCATGAGTATCGTGGTTTGTGGCATAGTCAGCTCTTACTACCTCCTCACATCAAGCTACACGGCCAAAGCCAGTGTGCTGACTTGCACCACCTGCAGCTTTGGCATGATGGTCTCCCTGTTTCAGAACTTGGGTGTGATACAGACCGTATCAGTGCCCTGGCCGAACGGGCTCAAGGACTTTCTCGGCTTCTTCCAGATCTTCCTCCTGGACTTGGACAGCCTCGGCTTCAGCTGCGTTGCTGGTGGCCCCGTGCATCGATTCGCTGGCAACTGTGCCTTCTTCTTCGTTGTGCTCTCAGGTCTTGTAGCGACAGCATTCCTCACCAACCTGCTCCTTCCCCGCCGCCTTTCTTGGCTGGCCTGGCAGAAGTACAAGACGATGAGCACGATCGGCCAATTCTGCCAGGTGAGCTTCACCACGATGACGAACATAGGCTTGGTTCCCTTCATGTGTTACCGCCACCCCGCAGGCAGCGAGAGCGTGCTGAAGTATAGCGCCGTCTTCTGCAACTCGGCCGAGCACACGCTGATGCAGCTGCTGGGTACAGCCGTCTTGGCCTTGAGTGGCGCCTTCCTCAGCTCCTGCTTCTTCTTTGCCTGGAAAGCTCCCTCCTGGTCTGGCAAAGCAATCCAAGGAGGTGTCCGCTTCCTCATCTTCCGCTTTAGACCGAATGTCTGGTGGTTTGGCCTGGTCCTTCTCACGCGGGGACCGCTCCTTTCCATGCCTGCTGTCGCGGCGCCAAACATGCCGGCCGTGCAGTTTGTGTTCCTGCTGGGCATCCTGCTACTGTCCCTGCAGCTGCAGATTTGGTACTTGCCGTGGAAGGCTCCGATCCTCAACCTGGTGGACGGTGTCACAAACCTGCTCCTCGTGATGCTCTTGGCAATTGGTTTGGGCCGCCTTGGCCCAGACCCTGAGGACGGGCCTGCAGTCCTGGACAGCCTGGCGGCCGCCATCTCTGCGATGATGATGAGCGTGCTCGGACTCATGCTGTTGCTTGCAATCGCTGCCCTCTTCTACAAGAAGGCTTTGGGCAGCAATGATGAGCTGTGGATCATGAACCTCGGCAAGCCACTAGCCTCCACAGACTTCTGCGACAACCTGACGAACTTCGTTCAGAGCCAGAAAGACATGCAGGAGAAGGAAGTACGACAAGTTGTGGAAGCGCTCTGTGTCTATGACTACCGTGACGTGAACGCCTCGATCGTCCTCCTGAGCACGGAGCTAGGCTTCCGCAGCAAGCTCACAGATGCGTTGGCCACGCGTCGAATTACCTCCTTTGCATCTTTTTCTTCCGTGCCTGCAGGAAACAAGACGCAGCAAACGGATGCCAAAGCCGAGAATGTCGGCGAGGAAGACACCTGCCTTGAAAGCAGTCACGACGTTGCTGAGGCGGTGGTGCTAAAGATGGAACTTCATGACGAGGAGACCCGTACTGAGTGGGCCTGAGTAGAGTCTCCTGCCAGGTCAGGCTGACTTCTTTTCTAATGTACATTCGGGCATTCGTTTCCCCAATGTCCTTCCTGGTGGCATTCCTGCACACGGTCCTTCCAAGTCGTCTGCCTTTTCCTTTCTTGCCTTTGCCTTTGCCTTTTCCTCTGCCTTTCTTACTTTTTCTCGGGTGCACGGAATGTTCCTTTGCCAGCCAGAACTTGCGGCCTCAGCATGGGCTGACCATGTAGCAGTTGCCATGTCCCACTCCTCAATGGATGTATAACTGCAGCAAGTATCTTTGATACGATCATGAACACTTTGGCTGGAGCCCACACGAGCAACTGCCTGCTGCTGCAAGGGTCGTCGTTTGAATTTGCCGTGGTCGCAGGATGCCTCAATGCAAGCCGAAGGCTTGTTTTCCAGCTCCCGAATATCCCGGCTTGATAATGTACTTTGTAACCTTGTCCGGCCTTACGCAAGACTGCATCGATACCGTCCATGATCTCTATAGGATGAGTTTCCACAGCTGCGGCAAAGCTCGACATGACGTATGAACGATGAGGCTGGACACACCATCGAAGCAGTCCACGGCCTCGGACATCATCTCTGAAGAAGTCAGTGAATCCGCTTCACGGGCCATCACGGTGCTTGTACTTTTGGGTCCAAATCTCGCATGCCGAGAATGCATCGTTGCCTGGGAGTATAGTCTCGAGGGGTTGGCTGCGAAAAAGGCGCATCACTCCAACTGCA